CTCCAGCCTCACCTGCTACTGTTCATCCATGGGCTATTGTTCATTCAGCCTCCATCGGCTACTGTTCATCCTGCCTCCACGGGGTCCTGTTCATCCACCCCCAACCGGCTGGGGTGCAGCGGCCTCCTCGGGGTTTTGTTCATCCAATGGCAATGGCCTACTACCACGAGGTCCCGTTCATCCAACCCCCATCGGGAACTGTTCATCCACAGCCAACCAACTGGCTTGACTCACCACGCCTCGGCTGAAGGAAGTTTTGCAAAGGTCAGGGACCAGACGCCAGGGACCCTGGTGTCTGGCCCTAGGCCATACGCCGAGGCCCTTGGCGTCTGGGCCAGACGGCAAGGACCGTCGTGTCTGGTACTGGAAACCGAGAAGGAGTCTTCCTTGCGTTCCAAACCAACTTTGAGGAGACTCTTTCTCCAAGAAATGACCCCAGGGCTCAACATATAAATAGAGGAGCAGGGCTAGCCCCTGGGGGACATCACGATTCACCAAGCCGTGTACCGGTGCCCCCTCTCCCTCTAGTTCGTCCTCCGTCCTAAATCCGTTGTTCTTGGCGAAGCCCTGTAGAAATAGTTTCACCACCACTATCACCACGCCGTCGTGCTGCCGGAACTCATCTACTACTTTGCCTCTCTTGCTGGATCGAGAAGGCGAGGACGTCAACGTGTGTTGAACGCGGAGGTGCCGTACGTTCGGTACTTGATCGGGATAGACCGTGAAGGTGTACGACTACATCAACCGTGTTGATAAATGCTTCCGCTTAGTGATGTACAAGGGTATGTAGATGTTCTCCTGCTCTCGTAGCTATACATCTCCATGGATAGATCTTGCGTGCGCGTAGATTTTTTTTGTTTTCCATGCAATGTTCCCCAACACATCTATCGTTGTCAACTTGGTCACTAGATTTGGTTTTAGACTATGGATAGAAACGGTCTAGGATTGTTCCGTTCGTGTCCAGACCAAACCAACTCAGCCCAACAATAGTTAAATCCCAGACCAAATTAAATTGATTGAGGGACTTGCCCCATTTCATCCAATCCAAAGGCAGCCCAATACAAAAACCGACTGAAACTATGGTTCCAGTCCAAACCATTGCCAGGTTTACGTGCGAGAGCCGCAACCGAGACTGTTTTCCTTTTTCCGAGGCAAGGGAGTCGGGCTCACAAGTCAACACACACGTGGGAGCTTCCGCCACCGACCACATTCACGGTGGGCAGCTGGGCCTTTCCCTACATGCCACGGCTGATGAGTACCCAAATGGGCCATACTCTGCTTCTAAAAAAAAAAGAATGGGTTCTATCAGTCACTGCGGATGGAAATTGCCCTCGCCTTTGATGTAATTGGGCCAGCCCATATACCGGTCGCTTTACGTTGTTTCAAGTTGAACATTTTTAAGTACATAATGAACATTTTAAAATAAATGCTATCAATACATGTTGAATTTTTTTGAGTGGTATGAAACTTTTTTAAATGACTTGAATATTTTTTACAATATACAAACATTTTTATAAATACATGTTTGAATATATATTAAAAATTATAAAATACATGTTGAACATTTTGAATGATACAAAACATTTTTTAAATCACGTGAAAACATAGATTGTATTAACCTTTTTTTAAATGTCACAAACGTATTTTTTAAACACGCAAACATCTTTTTTTCAACGGTATGAAGTATTTTTAAAATAATTATGCGAACATTTTAACATATGTTTTGACACGCATGAACATTTTTTAAATGTCACTGACATTTTTTTTGAATGAGACGAAATGTTTTTTAAAGTTGAGTGAACATTTTATTTACACTTCATGAACACTTTTCAAATGTTTGGTTAAAACTTCTCAAAATTTTAGTGTTTTTTTAGTCATATGTATTGTAACATTTTTGAAAATATATACAAAGGTAAAAAAAAAGTAAACAAACGAACCGACTGAAGTAATAAAAAACCTGTTACTGGGCCGAACCACTAGGGAGTGTTCCTTGAGGCGATGCGGTGGTAACTCTCGCAGAAAGCGAGGTATAGTCGTGCCCTCTTGGGTTCAGTTTGCGCTCAGGAAGCGATGGTTCGAGGGCTCTCTAACTGGCCCGACCCATCTGTAAGAAAATTGGGATAGAATATATTATAGTTCACTGATGTACTAGGGAAAGATTCGTGGAGACGCCCCATCTTCAAATATAACATAGCACAATGTGTTTGAGCACTTTTTGACAAAAGCTTAGTGGGGCATATTAGTCCTCGGAGCAGAATGCATAGAATTTATTTCCACCATGATTGAGACCTTTGTTTTAACAAGGGGAAGGGACCGGGTCTCCGAAGCTAGCTCTAAATAACAAAAAAGTTACAACTCCACATAAAGGACTTGAGGCTTTATTTTCCTTCTTTTCATACATGTCTAACTTTCCACTACATGTTGTACAGTTTTCGCATACATACAAAGCATATTTTTATACAAGCTGAACATTTAAAAAAATACAGAACGAATATTTTTTTAAATACATGTTAAACATTTTTCAAATACACGTTGAACCTTTTTTTGAAAAAATACATGAATATTTTTCTACAGTGTATAAACATTTTTTTAAATCATGTTTGGTTTTTTTTCAAATAATTGTTAAATATTTTTCACCGGCCAACCAGCCGCTCCAAATCGGAGGAGAAACGACACACACAAAATGTCAAAACATCATCGTTTGCGGTCACGCCAGAGGAACCGTTGGGGGCATAATAGCGGAGAGTGGCTGGGCTGGGCTAGACTCACTTGCAAATTAAGGTCCATGCTAAAGTAGCTCTCTGCTATTTATTCTGATTCCTATTTTACTTGTTGTTGTTTTGATTTAAATGAAGATTCAAACTAGCTCTGACACTTCTGAGATTTATGTGACCTTACTGGTGCAACCCAGGTCCACATAAAACGTTTCAAATTTGTTGAGATTATATTTTTGTTTCTAACAATATAAACCCAATTTAATTAAAGTTTAGGTGTGCAACCCAGGTCCACATAAGAAGATCCAAATTTGTTGAGATTATATTTTTTATTTCTAACAATATAAACCCAATTTGATTAAAGTTTAGGGTTTAAACTACAAGTGTGTTACGGCTGATTCCAAAAATCTTGGAATAATTATTATAGCTTCCTAATATTATTGGAAGGCTAGATACAAAACTTGAAGATAAATCATCATGTGGAAGTCCCTCATTTTAATATATGCAGATCTAGCTATTTTAAGAATTATGGTTGAAAATTATGATTTCCAAAGTTTTAAACCATTCTTAAACCCTTCAAATTTTTAGAGGATCCATATAATTTATATGAAGCTCTTGCCATGAAGGGCATTTTGCATTCATTGAGGAAATTTTAGGGTCTTATCCCTTTAGGACACATGAGGTTCGAGTTAATCCTTGTTTTTCATAATTCAATGAATCCAGACATGGTGATATGCTATGCTCTCTATGCGTCCATTACATTAACATAAGCTAGGGTTGTGACATTTAATGGTAAAAAGAGACAACATCACTTCATGTGCACAAGGAATATAAAGGTACTATGTATTACACACTATATTGATGTTGAATTATATCACAAGTATTTAACATCGGAAGCGGTTTAGCAATATGCTATGTAACATTGCGTTTTACGAATATCCATTTCTGAGCCCACGCTCATCTGCACCCGATCAAGAAAAAAAATAAAAAAATCCAAATTGTTTTTTGCATGGTAGATAATTTGGTACGTGAGGTGCACTCCAAATTTCAGATCATTTGAAATTATGAGTAGCCCTCAGCAAAAAAAGACAAATTTGGTTAGAACAGTACATGAACAGTAACTTTTTTATAGACCCCAAATTTGTTTTTTTTTGCCGAGAGCTACTCAGATGTCCAAATGATCTGAATTTTGAATCGCACCTCATGCACCAAATTATCTATCATGCAAAAATAATATAGATTTTTAAAAAAAATCTAGTTCCTCAACGCAGGTGCAGATGAGCGTAAGCACCGAATCGCTACTATGTGTTTTAGCCTTTTATTCCTTTATTTTTTTAAACTATTGCGAGAATGTAATAATTGGTTCATCTTTGAATCCAGAGATCAAATACTTGGGAAGTTGTTCTCTTCCATTTTTTTATAACAAGATGATATGCCTCAAGTTTGGCTAACAAAAATAAGATCCCAAATGAAATATAATAAATCTTGAGTTCTTGACACGTTTCCTACTGAACTGGTCAAACCTGTTGGAAAAATGAGCAATTTATCGAATGATTTTATTAACAGAAATACTAGATAAAGCATGATTAAAATAGCAATAGATGAAGTTACTTATACGACATAGAACCTATCATACGTAGGGCAAAAACTAGAGCCAAGAAGTGAACAGGCAGCACGTGAAGAGACCCGCGGCGCGGCGCGGCGGAGGAGGAGCGCGCATGGATGTCCCTCTTGTTCTCATGCTCATACAAGTGGGGAAGGAGCCTCCCTTATAAAGAGGTCCAACCCCCTCTAAACTAGCAATGTGGGACTAAACTTTTAGTAGTATCTCTTGCCTTGCACAAATGGGCTAAGTGGGCCTTTAGGATTTATTAGGAATTTCTGAAATAGTTATTGGGCTGCCCAAATAGACTAAGTTCCAGCAAAACCCGCCCAGAATTTCTTAGGAGACATGGTGGCACTTTTCGCTGACTTCACGGTACCCTTCTCCCGCTTTGTTGGCCCAACTTTCGTGCCATCACTCTTATGTCTTATATACCAGGAATTGAGATGCCAAATAATCCAATAGTTCAGGCCCACTTGTCTTCATGTCAGTTTAAAAATCTTCACAAAAGATGTGCACCAACCGTTTTCATTGCTTGCAAAAAATATGGCTTGGCCAACACAAATGGCATTTCCGACATGACGGTATATTATGGAGAGTGTGGCCATTTTCACGAGATCCATACCAAAAACAGTTGATGCGGCGCCTCAAACCTTGTTCAACATGCCGATCTCAACTCGCTGCTACAGAGGCATCCCCAGAGTCGGCAGTGCCGATCTGCAGATGCTATGCAAGAACTCGTAGAATCGGAGCATGACCTTGTCAAAACAGCTGGCATCATCACCCACATAGAACCTCATCTTGCCCCGGACATGCACCACCTCGGCTGAACTTGCCGCCTCCAAGTTGGCAATCTCTTCCTCAGTGGAAACAGATGATCGTCGGTCGGTGCTCATCGCAATGTGCTGCTTCAGGCATCTCATGACCTGTGTGACAAGATCTTCGCCCCCTTTGAGGCTCAGGTTTGTTAGGTTGATCTCCTCCCGATCGAGCCCAACGGCTTGACGGGCCCCTGACTCACGCTCTGATCGGGGGCGCCCAACCAAACCATGGTTGGTGGGCCCCTACGACCCGCGCTATATAACAGAGGTGGGGGCCGGGGCACGACTCACGGGGTTGATCGCTGCCACAAACCCCACCGAACACTCCCTACCGATCTAGGGTAAGCGTGGTGCTCACGGGAAGCACACCACCGCCGCCATCTCTGTCCACGTCGCCGCCGTCACCACACCACCATGGCCGGCGCTGGATCGAGCTCATCCGCACCTGGAGAAGGAGGCTTTCATTTGATGAGTTGCCTAAAAGAATTTCTGACACTTAGAGGTGACAACCACACTGAGTAGAGGAAGAAAGTAGAACTGGCATCTGTTTGTGCTGATCTTGACTGGGTTCTGGAGGAACCACAACCGGTCAGACCCACAGAGCCAGTAAGAGAGGCCACTGATGATGATGATGCATGGCCTAAAAAGAGGAGGGACTATGCTCCTTCGGAGATGTCCTACATCATAGATAACCAAAAGTGGGTCAATGCAAGCAAAAAGTGCATGACATTTATAAAAAATACAATTGAGAGCATCATTGTGGGCTCCATTGCAGAGTGCACTTCCGCAGGGGAGTTCCTTACAAAGATAAAGAGCCAGTTTACTGGCTCTTCAAAGATATATGCCACCCAGGTGTTAGAGCAACTGGTGACACAACGCTACACATATGGTAGTCATGGAATAAGAGGGCACATCCTGAGGATGAGCAATATGGCAGCAAAGCTAAAGCCCATGGATGAGGATCTGGAGATCAAACCAAAGCTCCTGATCCACCTAGTCATGGCTTCACTGCCAAAGGAGTTTGAAACTTTTGTTGTAAACTATAGTATGTCACCTGGAACATGGGACATTGACAATAGCAATGTGTGTCCAAGAAGAGGACAGACTCAAAGCTGCACATGGTGGTTCACTCAACTATGTGAAGGATCACAAGAAAAAGAATTACAATCAAAAAAACAAAAGTTCTCCTTCAAAACATGGAAAAGCCCCCTATCAGCATCAACATCAGCAACAATCTTTCTCAGTGGACAAAGACACTTGTCTCCACTGCAAGCAGAAAGGGCATTACAAGAAAGACTGCGCTGCTTGGCTCAAGTCAGTCATGGCAAAAAGAGGGATTCCATTCGACGCAGACTACGCTAAGAAGCGAAAGACGCATTGAAGTGGCAAACGGAGTTGAAGCAGACGTTGAAGCTGTCGGTGACATCTCCTTGGAGTTAGCTAACAGATTCAATCTTCTACTTAGAGATATTTTATTTGTTCCATCATGTCATAGAAACTTAATTAGTGTTTCTTGTTTGGACAAAGATAATTATGAATGTTATTTTGGACATGGCAAGTGTGCCATATGGTTAAATAATGCTTATGTGGGTGATGCTTTACTACACGGTGAGCTTTATTTGTTATCACTTCGTGAAAACGTTTATTCTGTATGCAATGTGAAAGAACATGTTTCTGCGCCGAATAAAGAACAAAAGAAAAGAAAGAGAACATTTGACTCGTCGAAATTATGGCACTGTCGCTTGGGCCATATTTCCAAGGGGAGAATAGAAAGATTAGTCAAAAGTGAAAATTTTCCTCCGTTAGAATTCTTAGACTTAGAACAATGCATAGATTGCATTAAAGGAAAGTATATAAAACAAATCGAAAAAGGTGCAATCCATAGCACGGGCACACTAGATATCATCCACACTGACATTTGTGGACCATTTCCGGTGAAAAGTGTGGATGGATATGACTCGTTCATAACATTCACAGATGATTACTCTCGCTATGGATATATTTATCCAATCAAAGAAAGATCTAAAGCGTTGGATAAATTTGAAATATTCAAAGATGAAGTTGAAATCCAGCATGATAAAAGAATAAAGATAGTCAGGTCCGACCGTGGGGGAGAGTACTACGGTCGGCACACTCCATATGGCCAATGTGACGCCCCCGATTTAATCGTACACTAATCATGCACGCAAATATGTACGATCAAGATCAGGGACTCACGGGAAGATATCACAACACAACTCTAAAACATAAATAAGTCATACAAGCATCATAATACAAGCTAGGGGCCTCGAGGGCTCGAATACAAGTGCTCCATCATAGACGAGTCAGCGGAAGCAACAATATCTGAGTACAGACATAAGTTAAACAAGTTTGCCTTAAGAAGGCTAGCACAAACTGGGATACAGATCGAAAGAGGCGCAGGCCTCCTGCCTGGGATCCTCCTAACTACTCCTGGTCGTCGTCAGCAGCCTGCACGTAGTAGTAGGCACCTCCGGTGTAGTAGGAGTCGTCGTCGATGGTGGCGTCTGGCTCCTGGACTCCAGCATCTGGTTGCGACAACCAGAAAGAAAGGAAAGGCGGAAAAGGGGGGAGAAAGCAATCGTGAGTAGTCATCCAAAGTACTCGCAAGCAAGGAACTACACTACATATGCATGGGTATATGTGTAAGGAGGCCATATAAGTGGACTGAACTGCAGAATGCCAGAATAAGAGGGGGATAGCTAGTCCTATCGAAGACTACGCTTCTGGCAGCCTCCGTCTTGCAGCATGTAGAAGAGAGTACACTGAAGTCCTCCAAGTAGCATCGCATAGCATAATCCTACCCGGCAATCCTCTCCTCGTCGCCCTGTTAGAGAGCGATCACCGGGTTGTATCTGGCACTTGGAAGGGTGTGTTTTATTTAGTATCCGGTTCTAGTTGTCATAAGGTCAAGGTACAACTCCAAGTCGTCTTGTTACCAAAGATCACGGCTATTCGAATAGACTAACTTCCCTGCAGGGGTGCACCACATAACCCAACACGCTCGATCCCATTTGGCCGGACACACTTTCCTGGGTCATGTCCGGCCTCGGAAGATCAACACGTCTCAGCCCCACCTAGGCACAACAGAGAGGTCAGCATGCCTGTCTAAACCTGAGCGCACAGGGGTCTGGGCCCATCGCCCTTAGTACACCTGCACGTTGCGTATGCGGCCAGTGAGCAGACCTAGCAACCTCCATTACAAAGGAAGTTGCGTTAACGCAGTCCAACCCGGCGCGCGCCGCTCAGTCGCTGACGTCACGAAGGCTTCGGCTGATACCACGACGTCGAGTGCTCATATCTTTCCCGCGTAGTTGGTTAGTGCGAATAGGCCAGCAGCCAGACTCAGATCAAATACCAAGATCTCGTTAAGCGTGTTAAGTATCCGCGAACGTCGAACAGGGCCAGGCCCACCTGTCTCCTAGGTGGTCTCAACCTGCCATGTCGCTCCGCCATAAAGTAACAGTTGGGGGCCGTCAGGAACCCACGCCCACCTCTACCGGGATGGAGCCACCTGTTCTTTCAGCCCCCTCATCAGAATCACTTGCGGGTACTCATCGAGCTGACCCGACTTTAGTCACCATCTATATGTATGTATGTATGTATAGTATATACCCGTGATCACCTCCCGAGTGATCACGGCCCAATAGTATAGCAAGGCAGACTGACAAGAATGTAGGGCCAATGATGATAAACTAGCATCCTATACTAAGTATTTAGGATTGCATGTAAGGTATCAACAGATGTAGCAACAATGTCAGGCTATGCATCAGAATAGGATTAACGGAAAGCAGTAACATGCTACACTACTCTAATGCAAGCAGTATAGAGGAGAATAGGCGATATCTGGTGATCAAGGAGGGGGCTTGCCTGGTTGCTCCGGCAAGGAGGGGTCGTCAACATCGTAGTCGAACTGGGGGTCGCCGGCAGTCTCGGGGCCTATCGGAAAGAAGTAACGGAGAGGGAACACAATAAATAACAGAGCAATCAAAGTATCACAAAGCGTAACAAGACAATACGCGGTGTTAGGTGTGCCCTAACGCGGTAGTAGGTGATACTGGTGAAGGAGGGAAACATCCGGGAAAGTATCCCCGACGTTTCGCTTTTTCGGACAGATGAACCGGAGGTGAAATGTTGCAGGTTCACTATGCTAGGGATGTGTGGCGGACGAATGGGCCGTGTATCTGGATTCTTCTCATCGTTCTGAGCAACTTTCATGTACAAAGTTTTTCCATCCGAGTTATGGATTATTTTATATTACTTTTAAAAGATTTAATCATTTTTAGAATTTATTTAATTATTTACCCCTAACATTATCCAGAATAGTGATTTCTGACGTCAGCATGACGTCAGCAGTTGACCTGGTCAACCTGACATGGGGGTCCCGCATGTCATTGCCTAACTAACTAACTAACGGTTTAGACAGATTAATTAGCAGGTTAATTTGGTTTAGTAGTTAGTTAACAGAATTAATTAAGTTATTAATTAATTAATTAATTGATATTATTTATTTATTTATTTTATCATTATTTTAATTCCTTTTTTATTCCTTTTAAGAAAACGTTCTGGGCTGGGCGCCACATGTCATAGGGCCAGGGGGGCACTGGCCCAGTGGTCAATGGCCCTGGCCACAGCGGGCACGGGCGCACGGGCGAGCGGGCACGGGCGCACGGGCGAGCGGGCGCTGGGGCGCTAGCGGCGCCCGACCTGGCAAGGGCCGAGCGGCGCAGATGCAGCAGGGGCCGCGGCGTACGGTGACGGAGTTCAGCACGGGGCCAGGGCGGCGGCTGGACGGCGCGTGGGCGCGAGCGCCCGGACTGGGCGCGGCCAGTCAGTGCCACGGCAAGGAGAGGACGCCGGCGCGGCGCTGGCCGACGCCGACGTGGCAGCGGTGAGGCCACGGCGGGGCGAGGCTGTGGTGATGCGGGCCGTGCCAGGGCGCCGGGACGATGCGTTGAGGCGGACAAGGCGAGGCCGACGCGCATAGGACGCGGCCGGAGCGCGTCAACCGCGGGCAAGATCGGCGGGG